GTGTGCTAGATGAGGTAATATTATATGGACAACCATATAGTAACATGTTTATACTGATATTATCCTCACCAACGGCTGAAGATTTGATTGTTAAACTATACTTATATGTAGTGATAGTTTGAAACTTGAATTCCCGAGAGCTCTGAAACTCACGCGAGAATCTCGCGAAAAAGCGACAAAAATATGAGAAATGTGAATGTGGAACCGATTTTCATAATCTTCGCAGGTTCTCGGCTTCTTCTCTGATTTTTGTCGGTTTTTTGTCACGAGACAAAATAGCTGAGAACGCGGCTTGGATGGAAGAAAAATCTGAGGTAAATGAGTTCTTTTATAGGTATATTTACTGAAAATGCACCAGCCGCGCACGTAAGCATTTGGCAACAGTTCAAGTAGATTGACCATTCATGAACTATTATGACTGTGATGAAACTGTTTAACTCAAATAAAAGAAAAGATTTGTCAAACTAATACACAGTTGAATTTGTTTATGATATTTCGCCACTGTTGCTGTTTGATGGAGACAATTTTTTTTAATTTTTCACCTTCCAAACACACAAATTAAACAAAATTGTTCCTATTTTGTACCGTTAATGAATGTACTTTATTTTGATAGGCAATGATTGGCAAATTAGCCAAAAATATGTACTAATTTCGGAGAAAACCAATGCAATGTAAACATCTGTATAGTCCTGGCTCATCCTAATTTATTCGAATCCATTGGTATCGATTGAGTCTACTGACAACTAGCACATCTCAGCATAACCCATCCCAGCTGGAATATTTTTATATTTGTTCAAACACAATAGACGGTTATTAAATGTTCAGAGGTCGACAGGAAACGATAACAATAATAACAACTGCACCATGCAATATTTATCATTCAGTGGAGTACGAAAAATGCTTATTTACATTGAATTTCGATATATGCATATCGCAAATGCATGACTATGCATCGATTCATCCATCACTCGATCCGTCCATCCGTCCATCCGTCCATCCGTCCATCCGTCCATCCGTCCATCCGTCCATCCGTCCATCCGTCCATCCGTCCATCCGTCCATCCGACCATCCGTCCATCCGTCCATCCGTCCATCCGTCCATCCGTCCATCCGTCCATCCGTCCATCCGTCCATCCGTCCATCCGTCCATCCGTCCATCCGTCCATCCGTCCATCCGTCCATCCGTCCATCCGTCCATCCGTCCATCCGTCCATCCGTCCATCCGTCCATCCGTCCATCCGTCCATCCGTCCATCCGTCCATCCGTCCATCCGTCCATCCGTCCATCCGTCCATCCGTCCATCCGTCCATCCGTCCATCCGTCCATCCGTCCATCCGTCCATCCGTCCATCCGTCCATCCGTCCATCCGTCCATCCGTCCATCCGTCCATCCGTCCATCCGTCCATCCGTCCATCCGTCCATCCGTCCATCCGCCAATCCGTCCATCCGTCCATCCGTCCATCCGTCCATCCGTCCATCCGTCCATCCGTCCACCCGTCCATCCGTCCATCCGTCCATCCGCCCATCCGTCCATCCGCCCATCCGTCCATCCGCCCATCCGCCCATCCGCCCAGCAGCCCATCCGTCCATCCGTTCATCCGTCCATCCGTCCATCCGTCCATCCGTCCATCCGTCCATCCGTCCATCCGTCCATCCGTCCATCCGTCCATCCGCCAATCCGTCCATCCGCCAATCCGTCCATCCGTCCATCCGTCCATCCGTCCATCCGTCCATCCGTCCATCCGTCCATCCGTCCATCCGTCCATCCGTCCATCCGTCCATCCGTCCATCCGTCCATCCGTCCATCCGTCCATCCGTCCATCCGTCCATCCGTCCATCCGTCCATCCGTCCATCCGTCCATCCGTCCATCCGTCCATCCGCCCATCCGTCCATCCGCCCATCCGCCCATCCGCCCAGCAGCCCATCCGTCCATCCGTTCATCCGTCCATCCGTCCATCCGTCCATCCGTCCATCCGTCCATCCGTCCATCCGTCCATCCGTCCATCCGTCCATCCGTCCATCCGTCCATCCGTCCATCCGTCCATCCGTCCATCCGTCCATCCGTCCATCCGTCCATCCGTCCATCCGTCCATCCGTCCATCCGTCCATCCGTCCATCCGTCCATCCGTCCATCCGTCCATCCGTCCATCCGTCCATCCGTCCATCCGTCCATCCGTCCATCCGTCCATCCGTCCATCCGTCCATCCGTCCATCCGTCCATCCGTCCATCCGTCCATCCGTCCATCCGTCCATCCGTCCATCCGTCCATCCGTCCATCCGTCCATCCGTCCATCCGTCCATCCGTCCATCCGTCCATCCGTCCATCCGTCCATCCGTCCATCCGTCCATCCGTCCATCCGTCCATCCGTCCATCCGTCCATCCGTCCATCCGTCCATCCGTCCATCCGTCCATCCGTCCATCCGTCCATCCGTCCATCCGTCCATCCGCCCATCCGTCCATCCGTCCATCCGTCCATCCGCCATCCGTCCATCCGTCCATCCGCCATCCGTCCATCCGTCCATCCGCCCATCCGTCCATCCGCCCATCCGTCCATCCGTCCATCCGTCCATCCGTCCATCCGTCCATCCGTCCATCCGTCCACCCGTCCATCTGTCCAACCGTTCATCCATGCATGCATCCATCCGAGTACAAAGTACGAAATTTTTCTAACAATAAGTTTGTTCCGTAATATGGCAGACAGGGGGTGGTGAAATATTATGCGTTTCTCTTATAAAATAACTAACAGCTCAACAACAAATCGGATTATCTTCTTGATTCTGGGGACCAAACGCAAAACTAATAAAGAATATGCAAGGTGCTCCTTAGGACTAATTTTGGCTTTGGCTTCCAGTTATGAAACATAATGTGTTGGCATCTTTTCCGAGCAAGCAGTACATTACAATCCCTTCAAATGCTTTCTATGGACATATTCTATATCAACGAAATAATGTGCGGTTTCTTCACTGAAAACTTCTCACATTTATCGAAAACCACTGATCAAAAGAAAAAACGCCGAGACACGTCAAAATATTTGGCAACGGAAACAACGTCTTAATCAGAAACTACTTCACCCTCTCTCACCCTCTGCCCTCAGGGTCATCCCCTTAAAAATTTTGAATGACAAGGGGTATAGCTTGTTTGAAAGGACTTTCGAAGTCATTTATTTTGGCGTTTGATTTTTTAAAATCGGTCGATTCGTTTTCAAGACAATTAGAAAAATCTCTATTTATGTTAATTTGATCAGATAGAAAACAAAAACACGCGGCAATATCATTTTAAATTTCAATAAGTGTTCAAAACGTTCCCCGCTGTTCTCCAAACAATGATATAGGCGATGTTCAAATTCCTGACGAGTATTTTCCAAAACATGTTGTGGGATATCATGGCAGCTTTCGATGATGCGTTGACGAAGTTCATCCAAACTATCAGGTTGGAGAGTAAACACAATAGATTTCAAATGGCTCCATAGCAAAAAGTCTAGTGGTATAAAATCAGGAGATCTAGCAGGCCATTCTATAGGCCCTCTTCGCCCTATCCCTTTATCTGGAAACTCGTCGTCTAGCCATTGCAGAACCGGAACATAGTGACAAGGAGCGGCGCCGTCTTGCTGGAAATACATATGTTTCAGCCTATTCAATTATAGCGTTTCCACTCCCTTGGATTTGGTTTCCAATGGCTTTAATGATAAGCGGACTGATGGTGTTTTCCAACACATCCAAATAACTGTCTCCATTCAAATTTGCATTAATAAACAATGGCCCATTTACTTTGTTTCCTTAAATACCTGCCCATACATTAATTTTTTGGTGGTACTGGGTATGCGCTTCTACAAAAGCATGATGATTTTCATTGCTCCAATACCTGCAGCGACGCTTATTAACAAATCCATTTAGATAAAATGTGCATTGACCACTGGAGCATATATTCTTTACATAAATGGCATTATCATTATTCGCTGCAGTCATTTGTTCACAAAACTCCACTCGCCTAACGAAATCATCTTCGGTTAACTCTTGCAAAGTTTTCGTTTTGAATGAATGAAATTTGTGGAGCTTAGGAACTCTATGTACAGAACCTAATGAACTACCAGCCGCAGCAACAATTTTGCGTAATGAAGTATTAGGATTTATTCCACAATGACCCAAAACTTCAACATACCTATGTGAAGATATCTTTCCCGGATGTCTAGCGTTAAACGTGATGACAGTTTGCCGAGCACGTTGATTTTGGGCACCATAAATTAAAATCATTTCCACTCTTTCGGCTTTTGGAAGTAAAATCTAAATCAATAATCTCAAGATTGTCACAAAGGTATCTGACGGCAAATTAAATTCTTTTTTTCCCTTAGCAACAAATAACTAAACAGGTATAACAATAAATACAGTTCGCCCAGGATATATGTGTTGATGGAAATAATGCGGAAAAAAATTCGGGTTGTTCTTGGTTGTTTCCACGTCTAATCTACCGAATTGCGGTTTATGATGGTAGTTTCCGTTTTAAATTATAAACGAATTGTAGATTTGGCAAACTCTAACGGGCAAGATTTTGAATATTTATTGATATAAAAAGTGATAATTTCGTGTGTTTTTGTTTTATATCTGAACAAATTAAGATAAATTAATATTTTTCTAATTTTCTCCAAATATCGAATGATTTAAAAAAATCAAACGTGTAAATAAAGGATTTTGAAAGACTTCTCAAGCAAGCTGTTACTCCATACCCCTTGTAATTTAAAATTTTTAAGCGAATGACCCTGGGGGCTGAGGGTGAAAGGGGGTGAAGTAGTTGTTGGTTAAAAAGTTGTCCCCCTTGAAAAATGTTTTGACGTATCTCGGTGTTTTTTCTTTTGATCAGTGGTTTTAGATAAATCCATGATGGGAAGCTTTCAAATGAACACCCTGTATAGTAGTAGTAACAGCCGAAAATAAAAAATCAATTTCATAAAAAAGACTTTTATCCAACAACCTTGCAACAAAAAATAATATTCCCAGTACGCAATATTGATGATGTACAAAATAAATGTGATACGCTACTGTTAATGCCTGATAAGTACTATCATTGGTCGACTTATCAGTCTGGCTATTTTTCACAATCATACGGAGAGCTGGATAGTGTTTATGACTAACAAAACTCTGTAAGTGTTCTGTGTGAAATGGACAAAAAGGTTTGGGCAACCTGTGGTGAGTAAAATGGATGTTATTTTGAAATAGCGTATAAATAATAAACAGTACATTGTAATTTGTTGCCTAAAGTAAATAGTACATTATAATTTGTTTATCTGTACTTTTTGCGCATAGTATCCATTCTAGTTTAACTGCTTTATATTATTTTCGCATTGTGTTTCTGTTCCACTATGGAGGCAATAAAAATATAATAATAAACGACTCATATATACTTGGAGGTGAAACTTCCAGCTACCATATAAGTGCTTGGATTTTTAAGTTGATAGCTTTATTTTTTCGCAGTAACAATTACGCAAACAGCTCAAGCAGCCACCTGAGCTGGAATCACAACTCTTAACTATGAGGGTTGATCACTACGCTCTACCTCTGACACCCTTGCAATAATGCTGCATTTCATGTATGCTTTATGATTCTAGATAAGTTATTTTCTTGTAAATGTTTCAATTTATGAAATATGATCAAATTATTGAAGGCCTGAACTGGCGAATGTGGTGGGCAAATTTACATTCTCAAAGCTGCTTCGTAAAGAGCAGCCACAGGAATGCAGGAAGTCTGGCTGGGAGCATTACCCTGATGAAATAGTACGCCATTTTTTAACCTTCCTCGATGTTTTTTAAGGACATCTCATAACTTTACGTTCATCTTGTGACACGTTATCATGCATTTTTTAATGTTTTGGTCAGTTGATACGGTTACAGGTGGCGCGCCGCAATGCTGGCTTTCACGAAATGCCTTTTCACACTTGATACCTCAATATCAGCGTCCACTCAATAACTTGAGTTTCAGCGGGCGTCATATCTTTTGTTTACACACACATTGTTACAACTCATTACTTAACCGAATCTATTTTTATTAGAATCCAAGGCATATTCGTGTATGACCCAGAGCGCACAAAATTTTACAAACAGTTCGACACATTAACTTAAGATTTTAGCGACGTAACCTACTAAAATCACTTGCTTTGCCATCAGCAGTAATCATCAAATCACCTCTACAAAGAGGATTAACGACGGAGCATAAGGATCAAGCCTCGTAACAGTAGCATCTCTTATATTAGCAAATTCCTACAACATGTCATTTTATGTTTTTACCAGGTGAATTTGAGTATATCCAGCTACCTCAACAGCATCTGCAGGATGCCTTGGAAGTACTGAATCTCGGTTTTTACCCCTTCGAAAGCGTTTGTCGAGTATTAGGTATAGCCAAAGTCCCGGAGGCGGTGGCTGATCTGAACCGACTCTCTGCATGTGTATCTGAGGATGAAGTATCAATCATTGCAATGGAAAGAAAGACCAACAGGGTAGTAGGTGTCGCCTTCAACAAACTGCAGGTACATCATGAGCTGTCGGTTGATGTAGCAAGAGAATTTATAACGCCTATTGTTGCAGTTCTTTTTTTATCTACATACAATCAAGAACAATAAACCAAAAATTCACAAATTATGTTGCTCAAGACCAGGTGATTTGAAAAGTTTATGGACTCTACATGAAAAAAGATTAATTGATCTTTAAAGATAAGTTCAGCATAGTCTTCCTTAAGTTCAATTCATTCTCTTCAGCGATTTTTAATTTGATTTGAACCTCTCGGCTGTAATAACTTCTCCACTTGGACTCCTTGAAGAAAGAAAAGCCATGGAAGCTTGAAGCTGCTAAATATAGTAAATGGGATGGATTTTTAAGCAATGCGAAACGTAATTGTTTGCTTTTGCCATCGTTAGAGCACTTGTTTGAGCAGGTGCATTGTCTCCAAGAAAAGTGATTTTTGTGTTTCGTGAATCTGATCTTTTCTACAACAATATCACTTTTGCATCTCGTAAAAATGCCATAATCTGTTCAGCTGACTTAAACAACTTTGGGGTAGAACAGAGAGGTTCAGCACATTCTCTGATTTGAGATCGCAATTCAGGGTCAACCTAAGTCTCATCCAGAATTTTAAATCGGCGTAGAAAATCAGTTTATCCTTTGGAAATCGATCCAGATGTTTTTGAAAAAGTCTTACCGGAATTCGTTTTTGATCCAAAGTTGCGACACCTACTTTGCCAATAATCTAATTCATTTTTCGAAATATGAGACACTGGTTGATTTGAGATACTTCAAGCCTCACAATAACAAGTCATTTGTATATTAGCCAAAATTAAATCGTGCATAAAATTAGCGGTTTGTAGCCGTTTTCGGGAGTACGCTTCATGTCTCGTCATGGACGTCTGTACGACCACGTTTAAGTTCAGTAAGGCCCACTGTCCACATCATTTGTCGAATAGATGCAACCTGCAAATGACGATAGGCGGTATTTTACGTATATGTCATGTCCGCATATCGTTATACAATAGTCAATCACGCCAAAACGTTTCAATTGACATAACGAAAGTACGCCCTTTCGTTGGGAAATTGTCAAGCGATGCTGATGTAATCATAGCATAGTGCCAGAATACGACGAATCAGGCGAAGAATGTATCGGATCCATCCATATATCAAAAGAATTATGTATTGTAGATTCTTTATTGCTGCTAGATAGTTATTCTATCTTGAGTATTTCAGTAATTTATTATCATACAAACAAGGATGTTGTCCAATAATGTGAACAAAATTAGGTGCCAAGGCCACCATTTTGCAAAACAAATACTGATTTGAGTATCGCCAGTCTACTTTAGTGACATGCAGCAATGACGAACGCATGACTAGCAAACGCGAAGTTTAAAGTGGACAGTGGGCCTAAATTAAACACTGTTGATACGTAAACACTCCCTGATACATTTTCCATATCGAGATTTTCATCTACATTCAATCCTTTTTTATAGAGATATCTAATCCGAGCATATTTCTGTAAATTTTTCCATTTTTGAAGACAACATAAAGTACGTCTACTATAAAAAGAAAGCTATCTTTCAGGTTTATCTTGAAACTGCGGATGTGTTCACGTGAAGTGTCTAGAAGTCCAGCAAAACAACGTGTTTTCTGATACCAGTGCCTTTTGTATACGAGTCCAGAAACTTTTCAACTCAACTGCATACAAAAAAGAATACACTTGGTTCAAGAACACGCGTTTATATGAAATTATGACATCGATTAAAGATCACAGATACTTGAAACCGTCTCAGAGAAATATAGCTGTTACAATTGAATCAGTCAATGCAAAACCATTCAAGTCCATTTTTTACCAACATTTTACTGAAAACGTAGATTCTGGGAGCACATCTCGATGTCTTTACACCCATTCCCCTTCAAATACTATCTATCACCTTATACACGTTCAGCGCAAATGGATCGTCCGTGGTTTTTGCATTTACTACTCGACGGCAGGTATCTACTTGAATGGGTCACTTCAAAACCTCTACCAGTATCTTTGTTTTGTTTTATTTGGTTAGATTAAGGTTTAAAACTAGATCCAACCAACTTGATCTCGGCTACACCTAGGTCTAGCCAATACTGAAATTAAAATATTTTTTCAAAAGTAGGAATAACATATTTTAGACGTGAAATAAGACGAAGGTTTGTTAAAAAGCAGATATTTGGTTCTTGCCACTTATCTTTAAATGCTACATCAGATCAATCGCATTTGTAGGTGAATAGCAGCAGTGGCGAAGCGGGATATTTTGAGAAGTTTTTGGAAACATGTAAGCACCCAGCTTCGCGAAAACTGATGGAGCTTATGATAGAAGCGGATGCGCTGTGTAATCTTTTTGAAAAGTGCAACACTAACTGCCTCCTAGAGATCATGTTTCTCAGTGTACACCCCGACTATAGAAAAGCGGGCATTGGGTTGAAGCTATGTGAAGTGTCCATTGAGCTGGCCAAATCCTTGCAAGGAGGTAGGTAGAAAGATGTGTATACTGAACATATCAACTTCTATTAGGTGTTTATTGATTTTTATTCGAAATATATTGAATGCATAAGTTAGTTACTTCTCTAATCGCGGGAAATTTTTAGAATGCCGTCGGCTTTTCTGTCTGTTTGTGGGTCTGTCCAACAATCTTGACCCCTTGGAAAGTACTCAGTAGTAGATTGAACAGTATCCGAAGATTCAACACAGTAGATCTGTCGAAAAAATGATGGATCTGGCAGCAATGCTCATAGCCATTAAAATGACAACATTGCCATCTCTTGTCAAATGGGCGCGGTTGAGAATAAATTGTTTCCGTATATTTGCTGGCGATATATTTCATTCATTTGTTATGTGCCGGAAATATTTTTATGAAAATCTATGTCACTTATTTCCGTCTGTCTGTCTATCTGTCCGCTAGGATTTTGATGAAATTTTTTCACTCTTTCTAATGTCGTGGATGAAAAATCTTTGTAATTTTTGAAAATCGAAGTTGGAAGCTGAAAGCAAAGAACGACGGATTTGACGTTCCAGAGGCTCCTGACCATTTTCATAAAAAACTTATTGCAGTAAAAAATTGGCGGTTGGGTGTTATAGGGGATGAGGGAGGGTATATCTAAATTTGTTTACATTAAAATATGTATACGCCTCCAATCTCGGTAATTCTACGCACCTATTAGTCACAAACGTGACACACATCATAGATTTATCCGCAGATTTGTCCTTGCAATGATAGAGATGTGCTGCCTGAGTTCACCGGCATGGCAGCCATGGTGAGTGTCCTATCGTTACTGCCTCTAGGGCGGAGGGAAAAGAAAGAACGTCTACGGGCTAATTGTATAGGCCTGTTTGATTCACTTGATTTCATAAGCTTTGTAACACTCTGAGTAGTGATGACGAAGTCAAACAAGTTGTTTCCAAGTAGTTACTATAAATGAAGAATATTAATGCAGACTTATCAAGTCTCGAGATTCTGTTTATCGTGAAAAATAAAACATATTTGTCATTTCGATTATAAGCGGTCATATGCAAACCATATTTGGAGAGATAACGGTACACCTCATTCAAAATCACGATAAGAATGTCCTATTGTTTCAAATTTACTTTTAGTGAAACTAGTGTATTTAAGCATAATGGAAACGTTGATTATAAGATTAAAATGTTTCATGATAACTTGAATTATCGTCAGATTATTTTCGCCTTCAACAATCAGTTATACTCGTCAAAAGCTATCATTAAGTATATGTTTGTATTCTGCTTGCAGCTAATGCACCGGGAGCTGTATGTGCCTTGTTCACATCTCCAATTTCGCAGAAGATAGGATCTGAGCTAGGGATGACCGTTCCTGCCAGGCTTGCATATGCTGATGTTCATTTCAACGGAAAATCGTTTGCTGATGTTCTAGAGCCTAACAATAAGGATATCGCTGTTGCATATAAGCTACTAAAAACAAATTAAGAAATGAACCCTAAGAAAATCGAAGCGCAAATTACAAGATGACTGTCAATGTGAAATATGGGTCTGGATCATCTGCATTTAGCATCTAGACGTATTCTTATTCAATGTTGCACTTATGGTGTTTGATTATGACAGGCCTCTCCAACTCGAGCACTTAGTGCTGGTGCGCTCCGGTGCTGAACCCAGCGGCACCGGTGCCATTCCCCCTCCACCTGGACCGCACAGCCGTCGCGACAGAGAGAAACATAATTAGCCGGCTGTCTCTCGGGCGCGGGCCATTTCTTAATAGGATAAGGCAAATTGGACAGGTTTATAGCGTCTTTCCGTGCATCTTTTTTTTTAAACGATGTCATTCAATCCTGCATGGAAGAAGCCCATTTTTTGTAAATACTGATGGAAAAGCAAAATGTTTAATTTGTCACATGGTATTGAGGCCAGCCAAGCCAAGTTCTGAAGAGGTAATTATTAATTTGGTCGTAGTTGATTATTATTAATGGTGTCGTAATGCAAGTTATATTGTTGCATTAAAAATCGCAAAAACTGGGACACCGTTTACTGACGGTGCACTTCTCAAAGAATGCTTAGTGGAGTGTGCAGAAATATTGTGCCCATCTCCTTTAAGCAACTTTGAGACAATTAGTATGTCCGAGCAATCAATTCCTCTTCGGATACTTGAACTTGGTGCAGATTTAAAAGAACAACTGCGGGAAAATGTGCCCATTTTGTGCAGTATTCTATAGCTCTCGATGAAAGTAAAGACATTTCTGACACAGCATAATTAGCTGTTTTCGTTAGAGGTATCGAAATAGTCTTTACGATCACCGACAAACTACTAGACGTTATCCCGCTCCATGATACAATGGCCGGAGAAGATATTTTTGATGCTGTAGAATACACAATGAATGACATAGGTAGACTACTCAAAAGTTTGCGTAGTGTTGTTACTGATGGAGCGCCAGCAATTTTATCGGAAGCACAAGGTTTTACTGGGTGAATGAAAATAAAAGTACGCGACGCTGGGCTACCTCCGATATCATCGGTACACTGCATATTACATCAGGAACAACTATGTGCAAAAACATTCCGTAATTTTAAATCTATTATTTATGTAGTAATAACATGTGTCAATTTCTGCAGAAAGCAAGGTCTCAGCCACAGCAGTTTGAAGTATTTTTAAAAGACCTGGAAGCAACTTACGGTGACATACCCTTTTATTGTGTTACGCGCTGGTTAAGCTGGGCAAAAGTGCTAAAGATTTTTTTTTGAAATCATTAACGACGTTGAGAGGTTTATGCAAATGAGATTCTTACGACGCCATCTTCAATGCTTTTCGAAACAGAACCGCCGCAGTTCCAAATGGAGCTGATTAAGTTTCAATGCGATACGATCCTTAAGGATAGATACCACTACAATAGTGATTTAATTTAGTTTTATCAAGATGTTAAGCAGCAAGATTTTCCCAAAATTCTTGCACTGACCTTGGAAACTTGCTTTATGTTCGGTACAACGTACTTCTGCGAGCAGATGTTGTCTTTAATGAATTTGAACAAAACCAAAAAAGGTCTTTGTCTGATGCGTCCTTATAGGCGATACTCAGAATTTCCAGTGCTCAAGCCGCTGTACCAAATATTAGAAAATTTGTTGAATCAAAACGCTGTCAAAGATCATCTTAAGAATAAATGTGTTTACGTCGAAATTATTATCACCCGCGCGTTGACTCGATCAGACTAATTCAAATGTCAATACGAATGTCACTCCACTCATTTTCCGTTGGGGCTGGGAGCCGGCGAAATTAAACCTTATCGCGGATTCGACTAAACTTAGTAATAATATGTAGTTTTTAAGTAAATGAACAAAAAGGGCTTGGTATGCCGATGAAAGTACCTGTCATATCGACTGGAAGATACAACGTGACGGTAGGATTTTACCATAACCCATACGTATATCAACGATCATGACGTTTTATATACATTTTACATATACCTTCAAACATCTAGAAGCCTGGTGTCAAACTGACAGACTCAAATGAGCTTTTAAATGCATACAAACAGGATGCATTATTTTTATCTATTTGCATTGCCTGCTATAGCTTTTAATCGGTACGACATAAACTTCTGGCGGAAATCAGTTTGTCATACCATGTTTTACAAAATGAGCCTAAAATTTCCATCAAACCTTTTAGGCTTCATTGGATTCGGTGAGGACAGTGAAATTCTCTTGTCACGCTGTATCTTTAAGTCGGTATGACAGGTACTTCTGGCAGGATGCGCCGCCCCGTCTTACTGAGCTCTTCTCGTTCATTTACTTAAAAACTATATATTATTACTAAATTTAGTCGAATCCGCGATGAAGGTATACTCAATGCCACCAGCTCCCGAGTCATTTCAATTCGCCATGCGTATGCCGCTGTCTAATCCTTCCCCCACCTTCACGGAGTTACCACGCAGCACTGTGATGCGAGTGGTGCTCGGCGCTGCACTGGTGGCACCTGAGTTGGAGAGACCTGGATTATGATATGGTGATTCTATCTAGACGGAAACAAAATAGTCGCACAAAAAGTGTTTCTGAAAATAATTAGAATAGGATGGCTGGATCGGTGATTATCTTTTAATTTGAATAAATGTGATGTTTCTACCGACAACTTTATTTTTTACTTTCTCGTCTTAGAGTTTAAATTCAATATGCCTGATCCTGCATACCTGAAAAAATATTGAGCCTCTGTACTGCCTGTTACTTTCAATACCGGTAGGCGAAGGGACATTGTAATAGTTGTCAAAAAAGACGAATATAAATTATTATGCTAAAGGCATATTTAGAGTCCGAAAATAGCTTAAAATTAGTGCATGTGAAAAGGTGATGCAATTTTTGATTAACGAGCATAGGTTTTCAAAAGTTGTAAATGAGCTAATGGATAGGTAAGTTAGTGAGTAGTTGAGTTAAATGTTTCCATTCATTCTTGCATCTAACAGGGTTATACTATCACCTATGCTACATTGAACTATTGACGACACTACTACAATTTTCCCTTAGGCTCTAATAGTATGTAAGTCAAAGCCATATCTTTGTCATCAGTCTGCATTAAGCTGGCAAAGGATCTTCCATTAAAATATATATAATCGACTCGCACTCTTTTCAGTTCAGTGTATCCCAAGATCTCGGCCATTCTTTGGGAAGCACGTGTGGTAAGCATGTTACATACAACCCTGGAAGCTGGTTTCAAGGGAAGTTGCTCGCCGTCAATTGAAACTTTAACATTTTCACCTGAAAAATGACTATCTGTAATCATTTTGCTACATTGTGATGAAACTAATCTGTTCGCAATTCAGTCATTTCAAGACAATATCGGTTCTCAGAATCAGATATCAGAATCGATCACTGCGAGAGTGAACAACAACTACCTGTTGGAACTGTAAATGTATGTTAGTCCTCATCGATAGCCGAGTCATCACTACGACCTCTTATGATCAACTATACTGCCTCCGATGAACAGAGGGCCAACCGTGTACAGCTTCTTGCTTATTGGCAATACTCAGCAAGGTCTAGGCCAGGTTCCTTAGTAGCAGAATAGACCACCATCATTATCATTATTATTCCTGACGGTTGCCAATAAGCATGAAACAGCTGTACTCATTTGACCCTTTGTGGGCCGGATAGGCGAAAGCAGTTCTACCAGTTATCAATAGTGGTTCTGCTTGAAAATTATCCGTTCTTCGCCTTCAAATAATCCCTAGTTTGCAAGAAAAATCAATCTGGTTTCACGAACCTGATACTGATACGGTATCTAGTGGCCGCAATGGTGACCCGGCTATCATAATGAGAACTTGGTTACAGTTCCAACTGACAGCCTGTTTCCTTAAGCCCTCAGAATTCGATTCTCGGAATCAATGGCACTTTGTGCTATATTATTTTAAAACTTTTTCTTGGTTGTGGAAGCCCCGGTAGTTCGGTCAGCGTGTCAAGCTAGCAATCCGGTGGTCGCGGGTTCGAATCTCCGACTCGGAAGATATTTCCTTGCCATGGATGTTCTTTCACGCACGTGGTGCAATATTAACTGGTACATCTCACCGCTGGAGCTGGTTTATTATATACACAGGGTGTTCCAGAAATATCACGCCAGAGTGATATTGGAGGTAGATTGGCCAGTTAGATAAAATCAACATGACCTTAGTAAAAGCTTTCTAGACTTTGAGATATTGCCACCTTGAAGTTTTTCAAAAAATCACTACTTTCTGCTCCTTTTTTGCCTTTAATGGCTATAAAGAACTTCTAACTTAGGTTTTTTTCCTGAGCTACCATTAATAATTGGTAGAGACAACCGAGTATTCATTTCATTGAAAACTAGCACGGTATGCTAAAAAAATTATTACATGTTCTTTCAATGTGAAAACCTCTACCAAAGTTTGACTAATTACTGTAAAAAAATGTCACAGACTGAATCATCAAATTATCTTAAAAACTAGCCTATTTAATACACACATTCTTTCAAAAATAGTATAGCATTTGCAGATTCTTTCTACTAAAAATTGAATAATTCTAAGTTTTGTCACTACAGTCGTAATCCTTGCGAAAGACTACAAAAAAAGGGCAGTCGTCTTTTGAATCCAAATCACTAAGGAATGAAACGACCTAAACATGTCATTGAGTATCTATACCCTATTCGTAATCCATTTACGCCTTAGCATAACAAAGATGCATCGCGGCAAAGCGGCAACCGCCTGACCGTTCAATAGCTATTGGTAGTTCGGCCATAAAACTACGAACAAGTGCAGGATTCGACAGGATATAACTCAAGCACGGGATATCGCCGGCACGCCGACGCCAGCAGTTACTGTTCATAATTGGTACATACATAGGGTATGTTAGCATGTTTTCTACGGATACAGCAGATGAAACTGATAATATTTCTCTCAATGCTGCCTTCAGCCATGCTTCCTCTTCACTGACGTCTCCTCCCGGAAAACGTGACAAGAAGGGACATTTGAACATTCAGGCAAAATAAATTGCTCTTAGCGTTTATAAGGGCAACATTTTAGAGCATCCTAAAATGAAACTTCATGATGTTGAAGGATATATGGCGAACAAAACAGGGTTATGTCCTAAGACAATTCTCAACATTGTTAAAGAATATAAAAAAAAAACAAAAAATTGTCTTCACCACACAAGAGGCTGCATTGCATCAAGCTGTTGGATACAGTTCATAACTTTGATCGGAATTCCATCAGCCGCAAAGTCGATCAATATTTTGAAAGGCAGGAACTTCCCACCATGGACAAAGTATTACAGGAGAATAATAGTGATGAAGACTTACCTACATTCAAAAGGACCATATTCTATAGTTCACTCAAAGAACTTCATTTTGAGTATAGAAAGGGGGGCAGAAATAATATTTTGATGGACAGCCAAAAGATTATTTTGTGGAGAAAAAATTATTTAAAATCAATAGAGAAATACCGCGACCACGGCAGGAAGATTTATTACTTGGCTGAAACCTGGATAAATACAGAACATAGAAAACCTAAGGTATGGGCTGACTCTACAATCAAATCAGCAAGACAAGCCTTCTTAGATGGCTTAAAGAATCTGTACGTGTGTCTTAACAATTCGTCATTTGTGTTATAAAAATGGTATAGAGTAGATAGAATTTATGAGCACACGCTAAAAACTTGGCTACACTAAGCTTAGCTATATCTAGTAGATTTGGAACCAACATCTGTTAGATACTCTGTTCTTATTATTAGTTTTCTTGAATACTATATGAAATAATTATTTCCATGAAAAGAAAAACGATTTGTTATCTGTCATATTTGCAGTGGAGATGGTCTTGTGCCCACTGCCCCATGGGCATTTGAGTCAAAGAAAACGACAGACTACCATGAAGAAATGAACAGAAGTTCATTTGAATGATGGTTTGAAGAAATGCTTCCAAAGCCTGACGACAATACCGTCAATGTACTTATAATAATATATATAATGCTGCATTCCACACCAGAAAACTAGAAAAATTCTCACAACGTCCACAAGAAAGGCAGAAATTCAATGATGGCTCCTATCAAAAGACATTTTCAATGAAAATATGGTGAACGCAGAACTTATCCGTTTAGTCAGGCAGCACAAATATAAATATAATCTGGATATTATTGTCGAAATGGCTAAAAACTAAAATAATACCGTTTTAAGGCACTGCGAATTAAATCCCATTGAAATGATTTGAGCAGATATAAAAAACTATATGGCTTCAAACAACAGAACATTCAAATTTTCTGACGTGAAAAATTTGATTTATGAAGCTGTCAACAGAGTGACGGCAAGCCATTGGAAAGATGGCAACCATCACGTTCAAGAGACAATCGAAACATAGATGTGGGATCTGGACAATATGATCGATTTCCAAATTGAACATATAATAATTAATATTAACCATTCGGACGACGATTCAAGTACTTCCAGCGAATAAAGAATCGTGAAAAGTATGTGCACCTCTTGCTTTAAAAATAATCATTGATTTTGTTATAATATTCCAAGACCATTAAGGAAAATACGGACCTGTAGAACCTCGCTTTCGGGCATGTTGTGTTTTGTCTGGGTATAAATGGACTACGAATATATATATATATATATATATATATAACAAAAATAGGAAAATAATGGACAAAATCCGAAATAAAGTGGACACATTGTAGTATAAAATGGCTAGAAGACCTCGAATTTTCAAGGGTAGGTTAGCTCTTGTTGTGGACTTGTGGACGTGTGTCTTTTTTTCCTCTCCAACTTTGTTTCCTCAGGTTACACCCGTATCCGGATGTATGGGCATGTGTCTCTACTTTTGTAGTTGCATATGTGCATTCATTTCGGGCCTGATGAAGCCAACCAGCAGAAATACGTATCGCTCGGGTTACCTATCCTATTTTCTGCTCGAATCCACTTTTTGCGGATTTTGTCCATTATTTTCCTATTTTTGTTATATACCTTTCTCCGCATGATAATTTACTCTGTATATATATATATGTATATATATATATATTACCAGTAAAGAGCCCATGGAGTAGTACAGTGTTGGTACTACGGGGTAGGCAAAAAGAGTCAAAGGTGGCCTAGTTGCCAGGCCTCGCCTCTCCACCACTACTTGTCTTCGTTGTAGTTCAATTTATTGGAAACTTTTCGTATTAAAAAAATAAAATCACAATGACAATTTTTTGATAGCTTAAGCAAACGTAATGCTAATAACAATAAATTGAGGCGTTAAGTTCATTATTCAAGTTTGAATTAGTGTACTGGATCCTAGGCAAAAATGCGATTATATAGAAACTAACTATTTTATAAGCATCTTGCCAAGTCTAAGGAATGTTGGGCTGACCTTAGACCCACGCCTGAGTTTCTATAATCTGAATATATACATACTGCCATGTTTTTCAATATGAAGTCTGTATTGAACGTTTAAATAAACTAACATATCTTCAACATTAGATCTGCAATACACATTGAGCTCGGATGCCTACACATTCTACCTGTCTTCATTATATCGCTTTTTTCGTGTAAAAGAAATTAAGTGGTAAAACTACCAAGCGCATCGTCAAAAATGAATTTCTCCGAGGTAAGTTGAACACGTTTATTTCTCCATGTCAATGGGCAAAACCCCCAAAAG